CAAGATGAATATTTTACTGAAACATTCCTGTCTAATGAATCTGAGATTAAAGTGCCGCACTGAAAGTTCATCATCCCGATTATAATTTTATTCCATTATTGGAACAGATAAAAAAGATAAAATTTAGCAGAGAGCCCATCAGGGCTGCAGTATGAAGCCAATCAATACGAGCCCGCCCACACCTACATTTTTCCCATATACACTATATTGCTACAGCCCCTTAGTTCCAGTGAAGGGAACTCTTAAGGCATCAGCACACCAAGACATTTTGGACGCCTTCCCAGAAGAGTTGAAGCTGTTAGAGTGGCAAAGGGCGGGCCAACTCAATATTAAACATAACGTAAAGGCAGGCGTCCCAATACTTTTGGCAATATAGTGTACTTACACTCCAGAAGGCATATCCAAACTGCAGCTCGCTGTTAAATGTAGGGCTGGTCACATGACGGCATGAACGGTGCTTTGTTGCAAACTCCAAACTGCTTCATGCTGCAACTTGAGCTTGTTTTCCATTTGGTGCCACGAATGGCTTCATATGACGGAACCTTTCAGCACATCAAAATGACGTTTTTATTTGAATTACATTATATATATATATACATACATACATACATACATACATACTGTATATCTCACTGATGGCTCCCACTAAATTATTAACAATCAGAATCTGGTAGGACACAATTGACAGTCAAGCAGAATGATCACATGATTGGGAAGCCCAGGAAACGCCTCTGACGTTATTATGGGTTGGGGTCAAAGTTCACGTTGTGTGCAGCCATCTCCCGGCCTCTTTGATACTTGTTACAATCTAATTTTCTAATATATTATTTGTAAGTGGTTGTTGTTGTTTTTTCGTTCAGTGTCTCTGCAGGCGACATTAGGACGGAGTCATCGGATTGGAGATCGCTCTTTTAAATTTAAATTAACATTTTTCTTTTGGTTCATATAAATAGTATCGGTAACCTGACACAACGTAACATTTCTTTTATTCTCAATTTCCAGGTTTCTTACATTTTGTTTTCTTTTTTTACAGATTGGAATCCTCACATTACCAATAACATGAAATGTATAATTGAAGTGTCAGGTTGCCTAAAACTAATATCTCTGTCATTTTAGCTACACATAGAATTTGGCAAGTGATATCAAAGCCAAAAAGTTATTTCAAATGCTGCAGAAATCACTTACATTGGATGCAGCTCCTCGATGTTTAAAAGTTCTAGTTTCCTGGTCCCCTGAGCACTGGTCCTGACTTCCTGTTTAGGGTGGCTCCATTCCCTTTCCAGGGTCCTATGGAGCCCCCCAGTAAGCTGTGTGTGCTTTCACAGACACAGCAAGGCAAGCTATTCCCCTGGCCCCTGCTCCCCTAGTAGATGGACACCTGCTATATCCCGTGTGATCATATACTGGACATGGAGTTCAGGGAAGCAAAGCTGAGAGAGTTGGAGCTGCTCAGAAACATAATTACTATAAGTTCTTATGCAAACATTCTTACTGGGCAATATATACAGTATTTGTGATCTGGATTCATAATTGAAAAAAGTTTCAGAGTTTGAGACTACTTGAATGCTCCTTGATAATGGCTGCAGCAGGTGGAGCTTGGTGTGCAGTAGTCTTCCCCCCCCCCCACCAGAGAGGCTGGGAGAGGGCCGGTGGGTGATTGAACCTGCTTGCACACACCCAGAACTGACATATAGGTTTAGGCAGACTGACACTTACATTTTTTTTTTTTAACTCTAACAAGGCCGTTGGAAAAAATATTTGTACATTCTAACCATATAGGTTGGTGACATCTCTGATCTCGGCACAGTGGAGGCGGCCATATTGTAGATGGGAATCACCATGGTGCAGGTGGGGTCTTTGGGGCATGAAAAACGATACATAATACACAAATTGGCTTTAAATATAGACGCATAGTCAGCAGATTTCAGATTAGCAGCATGCGTTGGAAGTTGTGCCCCACATGCTGCATTACAGGAGACCCCGGGCATCTGGAGCTGTTATCAATTACAATGTATCAAACATGCAGAGCAGCACATGACTGCCCAGGTGACTCAAACATGTAGACTTGCCCATGTGTTGCTGGCTCTAAGAAGCATGTTCAGCCATCATTTACTGTTTTTTAATAAAGATGAATGCTCCACATCATGAATGAAGCTTACGAGATGGCCGCCCCGCTGTGTGCAGATCATGGGGTGTCGTTTTAATAGAGCCGGCCACAGTACTAGTAACGTGTTTTGCTTTGTTTTGTGTCTCACGGTCCCCCCCATCTCTGATGTGTCCTTCTGGTTTGTTACACATTCAGCCTTTCTGCATTTGTAGGAACTAGAAATGGTATTAAAGCGAAGTCCTGCCAATATCTGTGGCAAACTGTTGTTATGCTGGACCGCCATTTGCTTCTGGGTAAGAGGAGCCCCTGAAAGCTCAGCCAACGTCTCTGACCGATCACTAACCAGATTAACTTTTTCTGTTGGTTGTGCTATGAGATCTACAGGAAGAGGGTGGCAGCACTGGTGGTGTTCATGTCTCGCGGCTGTGTGGAATGGTAAAGAGCGCCCTGCCAGCCATCTTGTTATATCGCTCCAGAGATGTCAAATTTGCATTGTGGGAGAAATGTGCAGAGGAAACATTTTCTGTAGTACATACACAGGGGGGGAGGGGGGGTGCTTTTAAGATTTGCACATTCACTGCATTTAAATATTTTTATTTAGCTGGAGAATTATGAGGGAAGTGCTTTTCACTCAGCCTCATAATCTGAGCCGACCTGTGACAATGAGACTGTCACAGGTCGGCTCAGTAGATTGGGAAGTGAGCGAACACATACCGGCGCTCGCTCACTTCTCGATCTATCCGGGCAGAGAGCCGTGACTGGATTCCCCGCTCCGATCCTCCAGCGCTGACTGGCAGAACGGACGGGGGAAGGGGCGGATACAGCTGGCTCTGCCTCTAGATAGGCAGAGCCAGCTGTCACTCACGCAGCTGGGCGGATCCAGACATAATTGTTGGTATCCGCTCCGGCTGCGGCGTCTCAGTATACCGCGAGCTGTAGCTCCCTATATACTGAGCTTTGGGTGACGGGAGGACGCTAGTTTGTGTCCTCCCGTTACCCTTAGGAGAACTATGGGGAAAAGCCCTGACCCCACAGTTCTCCTTTAAACTTAAGCCCCGTTCACATTGAGCGATTTACCGCGCGGTAATTCCCGCGGTCAAATTACCGCGCGATATCGCGCTCCAATGCATTTCAATGGGGCAAAGGGTCCTGCTGTCGCGGGTCGTGTGTCGCTACAGCAGAACCCTTTTTGGAGCGGATTTAGCCGCGATTCAAGCTTGCTCAATGCAAGCTTGAACGCGATATCGCGCGTCAAATCTCGCGAAAAAGCTAGCGAAAAAGCAAAAGTTTTGGGTGGACTCACCCTTTAAGTGTTAAAATGGCTACGCATGATAGAAAAAGAAATATTGTGTTAGATTTAAGCAATCCCCTGTGTACAAAAAAAACTAATCAGGAAGATCAGAACTGCTACATGATGCAGCTTCGAGAGGCGAGCGAACGCCGGTATGTGTTCACTCACTTCCCGATCTACTGAGCCGACCTGTGACAGTCTCATTGTCACAGGTCGGCTCGAACTCTGAGGATGAGTGAAAATCACTCGCCTCATAATTCTCCTTTTAAGTTAGAGATAAATGAAGTGTTGCTAATATTTTAGAGTTTAGATGCTGAAGGACAACGGTGTCCTGCTATGGTTTTCCATGTGCAGTCATTTCTGATCAGGGTACCCCATTTGTTTCTGAGCTGATTGGGCTCCACGCGCAGTAACAAGATGGCTTCTCTCCTGCTTTTACCTTCACACAGTTCCAGCTTTATACGTCTTACATTCTCCTTTTGTGGTGAGTGCCTTTACTCCATGGTGAATTGTGGCCTTGCTTGCTTGACTATTTCAGGAAATGGAGCCTTTTTTGCCTTTAACTAGCAAGGCAGTACGGTTCTGCTTCTCAGGAACCACAGTGCTATTCTGGGTGAGACGATTTTATTTATCTCTAATACTTCCTTAACATCTGTCTGTGGGGTTTCCATGTTTTCTGTCTTCTGGTGTCCTTTTCCGCTCTTACGTGCTTTCCTATCAATTCTATTCTCAAACCACAAATCAGTTGTGGTTTCCCTTGTTCAAACAAGTGCCAATTGATCAAAAGGTAAAATCAAGTTGTGCCGACCTGGACATTCACAGCCAAATGTGACCACTCAACATCGTTCTAGGGATAAAGAAGTTGGTGCTCCACTATGACCGCATACACATTCAGTCCATGAACACAAATGGGCTTAGAGACGTTTCCACTTGCTGGTTTTGAGGCAGAGGTTGTTCAGCCTCTGAAGTTGACAATCAACATGTCTGCACTGGTACTCAAAAAGTATCTGTGCATCCCTAATAAAAATGATAAAGTAAAAAGATAAATAAAAAATCTAAAAATAATTAAATTGATTAAAAAATAATTAAACAAATACAAATTTACAAAAATAAGAAGAAATAAAAATAAAGAAACAGTAAAAAAAAAATTGAAACTAGCCTTGGGGCAGCAAGGAGAGTAAATCCGGCCCTGCTTATATTACTTAATTATTATTAGATTAAACCTGATCTGCTTAATTGGGGTACCCCGGCTGATTTTAAATGAAATGCTATATGGTTCAGTCTCTTGCCCATTCTTTACAGTTCTCCAGGACCCTTTTTCCGGTGTGATGCAGACCAGCCTCGAAAGCCCATTGCTTTTCTGTAGATGTCACAGCCTTGCAGTACCATGCAGGCCAAAGATAGTTAGCAGCTTGCTTATAAGTAGTCTTGAACCTGCTTTGTGACCATTTTAAATCTGGGCCTCAAACCACGCAAGAACTGCATGTGGCAGTGTGCAAGTAGTTTTCTTCCATAGCCTAAGAACAATGACCAGGAAAATGTACTTTCTCCAAGGACCTACAGCAGCCTTTCTCAGCCTTGGTTCCCTGGGACACTAGGGTTCCTTCTGAGGTTGCTGGGGGTTCCTTGAGCAATAAGCAATGTTTAATTGAACACACACACACACACGCACACACACTGACTACCAATGTAGGGGGTCACTTCTACTCTGACCACCAACACAAGGGGTCACTTCTACACTGGCCACCAATGTAGGGCATAATTTTTAATCTGTCCACTAATGTAGGGGGTCACTTCTGCACTGACCACTGATGTTGGGGTATTCAACAATTTTGTTGTACAAGGCAGGAAGGACTGTTTAAAATATGATCTTCCCTGGATATAAAATACTCTAGATACACCACTCTAATGCACCATAGGTAGGGATGCACCATAGGTAGGGATGCACCATAGGTAGGGATGCACCGATACCGGTACTCACCCAAATGCTCCCGATACTTATCCTGACACCGGAACCTCCGGTATCAGGAAGCCAGGAGGTGAGTCATTATCCACCCCCAGCTTCCCTGGTCACCATGGAGCTGGCTTCCCGGCCAATCAGGAAGTCGGGGGTGGATAATGACCCACCTCCCGGCTTCTTGATTGGCCGGGAAGCTGGCTTCATGCGATGAGGGAGCATGGAGCCGGCTTCCTGGCCAATGAGGAAGCCGAACTGCGTGTAATGACTCGTTGCACTGCTTGCTGATTGGTCAGGAAACTGGCCAATCAGGAAGCCGGGCGGCAAGTCATTGCCCCCCCCCCAGCTTCCTGATTGGCCAGAAAGCTGTCTCCATGCTTCCTCGTCAACTGGCAATAAGGTAGCATGGAGCCGGCTTCCCGGCTAGTCAGGAAGCCGGGTGGCAAGTCATTACATGCCGCCCGGCTTCCTTAATGGGACTTTCTGTATCGATATTCTGTATCGGTGAGTGGCGAAAAAAATACCGGTGCTCGATATCTAAAAAACTGTATCGGTGCATCCCTAATAATAATCATTTTTAGCAGGGGTTCTCTGAGACCTGATAGTTATTTTAGGGGTTCCTTCTGGGTAAGAAGTTTGAGGACTGCCCTAGAGGCAACCCGTTTAAAGGGGGTAACAATATGCCAATAGCTAGGGCCAAATAGACACCTTATCTGTGCTTTGTGAACCTTTTAGATGTGTTTTGGTAACATAGTTTGGGCCGGGTCTTCACTCGTATGGTGCATTGGGGAATGCGGTTTGCTCTGAAGGTCCAGGTCTGCTGTACGCCAAACATTCACAGTGGAGGCCGGAATGGGCATCACTTGTCCCACCCTTGTATCGGCATAACATATTAATAAATGACTGCCTGTACATGGGGGAGACGTTCTTCTTGTTTAACTCGGGAACCACAATATACTGATTTGTTTTTTTCTCCAATCATTTTACAAAATATGCCAAACTAATGCACGATTAACGATGTTGCTAACTTGTCTAAATGATTCCTAATTGCTACAATATAAAAAAAAGTTAAACCAAAATACTGTATAATTTTCTGTTGCTTAATTTAAGTTAAAACCTTTTATTTTGTTTTGCATAGAGCTGGAGAGGGTTGGAGCCTCTGTCAGGTTTTTATTGCTATCTGTGCCCCTGTTGAGAAGATGTTCCCCCTCTCTAGGAGAGGAAGTGATAGAAAAATCTCTCTAAGGGGCACAGACAGAAACATGTTTAGTAAAGCGGGGAAGGGTTGGAATGCAAGGTGATATTTTATTGCCATCTGTGCCGCCTTGTTCCATTCACATCCGCTCCCCTATTTCTTGTTCTGGTGTCAGAGAGACAGGAAATAAGCAAAATATCCCCAATGAGGGCACGGAAATAAAAACTTGATCATTGAGTAAGGAATAGAAGCGCTACTCTGCATATAAGAGTAATTTAAAATGGCCAAGGAAAAGCCGATGTGTTGTGGGGGTTGTGCAATTCCCCCCTTCTTCAGGGCTATGAAACCGTAAATATAATCAAATCAGTATTACAATACTAAGAAAAGTTCACATGTAAAAAGAAATACTTGTAAATTGTTATAAGGAACTCGTAACAAATGAATTAGAAATTAAAATTGAGGGTTCATTTATCCACTTGTGTCCGGTTAAGGAAGTAATAGTAATTTATATAACCTTCTATATCAGACCACCAGATAAAAGATGGTGTATATAATGTATGCCCGCCGTTTTTATAATATACTATCTTTAGATCCGGTGGTCTGACTATATACTGACTTTATAAATTGCAATTATTTATTTATTGTATTATATCATAGCATGTACATGGATAAAACGTCTATTTTAATTCCCAATTTAAGATTAAAGGAGAACTATGAGGTGAGAGATTTTCAGTCATCCTCATAGTTCTAGCCGACCTGTGACAATGAGACTTTCACAGGTCGGCTCAATAGACCGGGAAGTGAGAGAACACATACCGTGGCTCGCTCACTTTTCGGTCATCTTCCTGCAGAGAGCCGTGGCTGTCAGTCCCCCGCAGGGATTCCCCCCTCCCAGATCCGATTCTGCAGCGGAGGGGGCGGGTACAGCTGGCTCTGCTTTTAGATTGGTCAGAGCCAGCTGTCAGTCACGCAGCTTGGTGGATCTCGACAGTAACGTCAGGATCCATCCCAGCTGCGGCGTCTCAGTATAATGCGAGCTGTAGCTCCCTATATACTGAGCCTAGGGTGACGGGAGGACGCTAGTATATGTCCTCCTGTGACCCTAAGGAGAACTATGGGGGAAAAGCCCTGAGTCCATTGTTCTCCTTTAATGGATAATTCATCTTTAATTATATTTTCAGATTTCTTTATAATAATTTATATAGATTTTTTAAATTAACTTTTAATAGTGTTCTAATATTGGTTTGATTTAGATATTGATTATATTTTGGGATTCACCGATACCGGTGCTTCTGCCGGCTCCAAGTTGTCTGGCTGGCTTAATTGTGCTTGGCCGGTAAACCGGCTTCCCAGCCAATCAGCATTGAGCCGGCTTCCCAGCCAATCAGCATTGAGCCGGCTTCCCAGCCAATCAGCATTGAGCCGGCTTCCCAGCCAATCAGCATTGAGCCGGCTTCCCAGCCAATCAGCATTGAGCTGGCTTCCCAGCTAATCAGCATCGAGCCGGCTTCCCGGCCATCAGGAAGCCAGGCAGCGAGTAAGGACACGCCTGATTGGCCGGGAATCCAGCTTGATGCTGATTGGCTGGAAAACCGGCTTCCCAGCCAATCGGGAAGCTGGGAGGCAGGTCATTACTCGCGACCCAGCTTTCCGATCGCACTGGAAGCTGGCTCTATGTTCCTCTGACCAGAAGTTCCGGTATCGGGGAAGGTATTAGAGCATTTGTACGAGTACTCGCCCAAATACTCGGTATCGGCACTGATACTAGTATCGATATCGGTGCAATCGCTAATTAGATTTTTAGATTTATAGCCCTGAAGAACGGCCACTTCCACAGCCTCCAAAATACATTGAGGGGGATTTATCAAAACTCTGGAGCACACAGATTCTGGAGCAGCCAATCCGCTTCTCTCTCCGTCTGCTCCAGATTTGATCATTTTCCCGCATTGGCGTTTCTTTTGGCTCTTTTAAATAAATGATTACTTTGGACTCTTACTGTATACGTGGACTGGCTGCTTCTGTTCCTGATTCTACCACCATTTTCTCCTAAGGTCCACTCACAGAGGTCCTCGGACAAATAGAAATAAGAACCTGACAGAGATTTCCATTTTTTCTGCTCTATTTAAAACTAAAAAAAAATACAAAAATGTTTTTCAATTGTTAACAGATTAAAGAGATTTTGTAAATGCAGCAAATTTAGAAACTCATCTGAATTGCGCAGTAAAAGTGCAATAATATCTCTTTCCACTTTTATAAATGGACCCCTGAAACGTAATGACTTTTGTCTTCCATCTCTCCCCTTTCTTCTCCAACTTTATTTGGTATACATTTTTTGATTGCTGTCATTGCCAGAGGTCCCCAGAGCATTTCTTATTAGGTATTGGGCAGGTTTAAAAGCCATTGATCTGGGGGGTCACCCAGCTCCGGGAGAGATCCGGGCTTTTTTACAGGGCAGCTGAAGCCGTCTCATGTGTACTGAACGCAGTGAAAAGTCATGCAACTCATTGACTTACAGTCATTGGGGTATGTGTGAGAGGGAGGTTGACCAGGTTGGTACCACACAGAAGGTCTTCAGCTGGACTGTCAAAGTTGGTCTTTCATGTGTGAGCTCTACCTCTACTTTTGGTAAGCCTGTCCTTTAAATATACCCACATTACTGATTGTAGGCCGCACACTATAATACATAACTTCATCATTGGCTTCCTGATTGTGTGGCCCACCCGGCACCGCACAGCCTTGTCAAAATATCCTGCTCGGGTACTGCCGAGAGTGCACACATACCACATCCCCCCGTTCCGTCCCATGGATGGTCCTTACTCAAGAGGGCCCCTAGCCTTCCAGTCAAGGATGAACCATTGATAGGATGGAATGGGGGTGTGTGTAGGCACAGCACCCAACTGGGACATTTTGGGGTACAGAGACTGTGCGGCACCAGGCAGGGGAGTGGGGATGAAGGTTACCATTGTAGTGTGCAGGCTTTAATGGAGGGGGGTACTTAAGGAACTTCACTAAAGATCAAGTGGTCCTTCAAAGTGAACACTGCCAACCATTTGACATTTTTAAAAGTCCCCCCAAAGGACGAGCGCCTCCAAAATGTGATTTTGCCTTTGTCGGCCAGAAAAGCCTCTTCTGTCTGATCCTGTAATCACTACGGGCCATGTGACATCAACGATCAAAGAGACCACTTAGCGGCTCTTGTGATGTCACTTCCTCTCTGGCCCGAAACATTGCAGAATTTTGCTCGCTGATGGTGGATTGACGATTTGCTGGTTGTTCAGCAAGGAAGTGACACAGCAGGAGTAGGGTGGGGGGGTCTCTTTAGCAATCCTGTTGCCGGCCAGTTTGCAGCCAGCAACAGGATCTGGAAATGGCGCAACTGACTCAACCAGCATCTGGGCTAAAGTCTACCCACCCCCAGTCTTGGGAGGGGGCCTCTATGGCCAGTAGGAGGGCTTCCATGGTGGGGCAATCAGGAAAGTTCACCTCTTAGTAATATAGTGAAACCAGAAGCAGAAGGGCACACAGGAGAGGCTTTTCTGGCTGACAAAAGTGATAGCGAGAACCTCCTTATTATTAGGAAGGACTTTTACTCGAAAGCTGAAATTCTCATTCTGCTGTCTGGCTGTCATGCTGATCCTTGGACTTCAGTTCTCTGAGTCTCGAACAAATACACAGATATGAACTTCTGATTTTTCTGCTCCGTATAGATGTTCCTGATTCGTGACCCAGAGAGTAGAATGGCTGGCAGGTTCACTTTAAGAAGTTTTGGGGAATCCTTATTATGTATTGCTGTATATGTGGCAATGTTGGTACCCCCTTCTGTTGGAGTCGGTGGACAGCTTCAACATTTATAGTCATACATAAAGCTGACACCCGAGTGCTGGAAAATGTTTTCCGGTGCTTGAAATTGGCAGGAAATTGACATCATTTGATCCCGCCCCAACCTACCCAGAAAGGAGAGATTCATTTCTGGGTGGTTTCCCATTTTTTGGTCTCTTTTCATGTTTGTCATCAGTTTTAACCCTTCACAGACACTAACCCTCTGCCGTGTGTCCTCCAGATCTTACTTATCATAGCCAGTATGATCGCCATTATAGTATACCGGCTGGCGGTCTACGCCGCGTTCGCCAGCGTTATGGAAAACAACCACTCGCTGCAGCCAATTAGCGGACTGCTCACCCCTCAGCTGGCGACCTCGGTGACCGCGTCCTGCCTGAACTTTATCATCATCATGATCCTCAACTTCCTGTACGAGCGGGTGGCCATTTGGATTACTGACATGGGTAAGAGAAACTAAAATCTCAGCATGGAGATGAGAACTGACCATGATCAATAACTCTCTATACATCCCAATCGTCCTGTGAATGTCATTAGTACCTATACCTTCTTTGCAGCTTGAATGTAATATCAGGAAAATACCGCATTTTGGCCACTAGCAGGAGCTAAGAAGCATAAGAAAGGAATACTTTTTGCTATGCTCATGAGCGCCATCTAGTGGCCATAATGTGGTATTGTCCTGTTACGTTCTAGGACATAAAAGAAGCCAGCAGGAGCTTTATCCAGCCAGTTCCAGCTGACTTACTTTATTAATATTGTAAGAATCAGGCACAAGCATGACGTATTCCGACTTCTAGGACTAAATGAATGCGTTTTATGTTTAGTGCTGAACATTATAGAACCTGTCGCTGTTCTGAGCAGGAATTTGTCATCAGAGCCGACCTCTGTCTACAAGGCAGCTTCAAACAACTCAGACCGAGTGAAGACATCCATAGCAGACTTGTGTGAAGGGTTAATATGTGTTTGTTACATTTGATCTCCCTTTGAGAACTAGTCGCACACACGTGTCAGAATCCGCAGGAGGAACAATCTGTTCTCAGATGGATTTCTCGTTGCAGAAGACTGCATGGCTGCTTAAAGTGACACTAAACTCCAGACTTAAATCCTAAAAATACATGCAAGTTCCTGAACTCAGAACAACAATGTATCTTATTTGTGTATCACTCGGCTGTAGATCCTCCAATCATCTCTGACACCGTGCTTCTAAATAAGATACATTGTTGTTCAGAGTTCAGGGATTGGAATGTATTTTTAAGATTTAACTCCTGAGTTTAGTGTCACTTTAAAGTATAACTAAAGGCTCCTGTATGACAGTCCAAACAAGTACAAATTCCATATACTATATGGTGCACAAACCTCATAAAGGGAATAAAAAGCTTCATTTACCTTCCCCAACTGAGCCAAATCCAACTTAAAAAGTGTCTCACCCTTCCCCCTCCCAGACACTGCAGCTCATAGTGGGAAGTTTTTTTTCTCGAATAGAATGAACGCATAAACACCCAAAGTGTTTCGGGAGTCTGAAAGCACAAACCTATAAATAACATAATCAGGGTCCATTTACATGCAAAGGATAAACATGACAAAATAAGAGTGAAATGTATTATTATTAATTAATAAGTTACATACTGATACAGTTAATATATTAAACAGAATGTAATAATAGAGTGAAATAAAATGTTTTATATTGTGTAGTATTATAATACAATTTTGTATCTTATTTATAATGATATCCTATGAGATGATGACATCCTATGGACACCATTTGGTCCGGCTCTCCTGTTGTGTTTTTACATTTTGAGTCACATTATGAGCACCCGCTGAAGGGGAGCCTTGTTTTATGTGAGCAGCTTCTCCAGAGCCACTGAGCTCATTGAATGATTTAAGTTTTCTCCGTTTTATTAAACAAATAAGTTTTGAAGTCCCGGGGCCTCTTTAATATGTATTTTTGTTTCTTTATGACGAATTGAAGGGTTCCAAGAAAGCTTTTCCGGGCTTGGTAAATGCCTCCTGTAGCAGATGCTCTGCAAACTAGAGTAGATATGCTAATGCAATGCCCATGTGTTTTCAGTCCTCCTGCAGACATGGTCTAGAAGAGACCGTCACCAACATTTACTACAACCTAAAATGTTTCTTTTTCCCTGACAGAGGTCCCCAGGACGCATCTGGAGTATGAGAACCGACTCACCATGAAGATGTTCCTCTTCCAGTTCGTCAACTACTATTCTTCTTGCTTCTACGTGGCCTTCTTCAAGGGCAAGTTTGTGGGCTTCCCCGGAGGGTACACCTACATGTTCAACCAGTGGAGGAATGAGGAGGTGAGAACAAGGGAATTTTTCTTTGATTTTTGACATTTGTAGTGCGACCCGGCCGGCTGTCTCATAGAACTGACCACGCAGCTCACCATCGTGATGGCTGGAAAGCAGATCTGGGGGAACATCCAAGAAGCTTTTGTGCCGTGAGTAAAATCGTTCAATTGATTTTGTTTATTTTTTCCTTCCTTGGTCTCTTATCTCTCAATATAATGTCGATTTAATTTATGAATAAAACCTATTTTTTTATTATATTCCTTATTTCAGACCCAGTGATCTCTATGCAATGCAGGAAGATCACGGCTGGTGGGAGGGGCTGGCAGGAAGCTGTACATAGCTTCCTGAAATCATCACAGCACCCTGCCTCAGTACTCCTCATAAGAGCCCTCAGCCTTGATGCAAGCAGTGGGCGGGCTCTTGGGAGGAGTTATGCAAATATCACAATGCCTTGATGGGTGGGTTTCAGTCTGGAGGAGTGGGCGTTCCTAGGCAGGCTCTAGGACCCTGTACAACTATGCAAAACTGAAGGGAAGTTTTGGAGTTAAGCTTTGTTTATCATTGGTTGTCTGGATTTCACAGGTGGATCTGGAACTGGTGGGGGCGTCGGAGGGCCAGGAACACCCCAGAGAACCTATACAGCCGTTGGGAGCAGGACTTTGACCTGCAAATCTTCGGACAGTTGGGTCTTTTCTATGAATACCTGGAAATGGGTAAGATGGATACTTGTCTGCACTGTGTGGAAGGGTTGGAGCCCCTGTCGGGTTTTATTGCTGTATATGTCCTCTCTGTGTATCCGGTGACCATTGTCACCGCCACAGAAAATGATAGGAAATCCAAAAGGTTTCAGGTGTCGCCAAAATAGGAGGGGGAATAGGACACCTATCTAAGAGGGTGCTTTCCTTACATTGGAGAGATTTCCTCATCTCTAGAGCAACAAATAACAGCTCCTCATTAAGTCAATGTAGAGCCCCCAGTCCCATGGTATACTATGTCATGTAATCTGGATCCGGCCACTCGGTGTATATAATAATCTGGCCACTCGGTGTATATAATAATCCGGCCGCTCAGTGTATATAATAATCCGGCCACTCGGTGTATATAATAATCCGGCCACTCGGTGTATTTGGGGGGTGTTGTGCAGTTGTATATCAACAATTGTACCGTATTCTATAATTTACACATTTATTTCTATTTTTAATTTTTTCATTCTTTTAGGGATTTAGACATTTTCTTTCAGGGGGTTTTGTTTGTTGTGTTAAACAAGAAAACAACATACAGGGCTTCTAAGCTGTAAACATTTTTGGCTTTAAATGCAGTTTAAGAAGTTTCAGATCGGGGGAATATTCGAGCCTATAGTAACCCCACAACCTCCGAGTGTGATCCTGTGGGGGTGCTGGACCCAAATGGTTAATGTGAACCTTCAGTGTAAGGCCCATTCACACCATGGCGACAGCGTTCCAGCGTGTTTTACGCTAGATTTTGCGTGTTTTTAATGGGTGTTTCAGCGCATTTTCCGTTCCTATGTGAGCGCGTTTATTCCGCTCGTCTCAATTGTCTAATGAGAAGCCGGCTCAGCTGCAAAAATACGCTGAACAACGCGCAACAACGATCAGCGCGTTTCCATTGAAGTCTATGGGGCAAAAGGAGCTGATCAGCTCCACAAAAGCAGCTCGGTGGGTATTTCAAGCGACGGGTATATTTGGACGCGCAATTCAGCACAAATCCCACAGGAATACATGAGATTTTCATGTGTATGCGTTTCAACGCGCAAAAAAAAGGGACGCCGAAACGCCTTGGTGTGAACGGGGCCTAAAGTAGGATATGAATAAAGTGGAGTGGAGTGACTCGGGAGTCTAGAGGGAAATATAGATTAAGGGACTTCTGGGGGAAGGAGACCCACACCGATGGTAGAGAGTCAGATAAGAGGACACAAAATCCAGCTGCTTATTACATCATAAAACATCCAAAACTACCAGGTTCCGGTTCCCCTTGATCACGGATCTCTGTATGCTGGGGAAATGGAATGAAGTCAGACTCAAGAGTTCCGCAATGATATATTGTGTTGGATTTGTAGATGTGCAGGACTTGTGGCCTAAACCTGGGTTCACACCTAGGCATATCGAATATGCGCGTTTCCGAGGGCTACTTGGCTGTATCCCGATGGAAACGCGCGACAAAAACGCCCCAAAGAAGCTCCTGCACTTCTTTGGGCGTAGGACGTTTTGTAGCGCGTTCATACGGCCTGTAATACGCCCAGGTGTGAACCATACCCATAGGAAATAATGGGATTTCGGTGTTTGAGCGTTTTGCAGAGCGTTCGAACGCGCTACAAAGCGCCCAAGGTGTGAACCGGGCCTCACTGTGTGAGAGACATTTACTCACTGCTTAACCTTCTCCCCAGCTCATATTTACACTTCCTCACGAACAACTGTATGATCGCGAGACCTGACAGTTCGTTATGCCAAAATTCTTAAAAAAGAGTTATCTGTTTAGCTTCTGGACTGAATAAATATTTCCTATTGGTTAATCACCATAATATATCCCATGTAGAGGTGTCCACCGAAATGGAAATGTTAAAAAACGAAATTTAAAAAATTGTCAAACCGATAACGAAAATGCTTTTTATTTTATTTTTTTCATATTTTTTAAATATT